AATAGTATAAGGAGTTGGGTTAGAAGACCTCCAAGGTCCCTTTCAACTAAGTTATTCTGTTAAATCCTCCTTCTCTTGAAGTTCTCCTGATGTGTGTTACAGTTATGCTGTTTTAGACAAAAAATGCAAGCAAGATGTGCTGCTTATAGTTGGAGACTGGAATGCCAAAATTGGGAATAGTAAAGAGAAAAACACAGATTAACTATATGGCCTAGGAAACAGAAATGAAGCAGAAAAATATTTAGCAGTTTCTGACAAACAGGTGTTTTCTTCGTTCCTAACACATCATTCAAACAACCTAACAAAGCCTGCATCTATGTGAACATCAGATGGAACCAGGTGGAACACATAGAAAATCGTATTTGACTATATTATTGGTACAAGGAGTAGGAAGAGCTCACAGATATGGCCAGAGACCAATTTTGAAACATATCATGAAGTATCCATGTGCAAGTTCTAAGATAAGCTAAAATAGAAGAACTTTGCTAATTTTTACAGTATGATCTTGAGTGCAGCCTCAAAATGTGTTCCATTTTGAAGGAGAATATGCGGTATAACTTTGAGAACCTCGCTGATGGCTAAGCAGAGGAATTATAGAACGAAATGAAAAATGATATTAAGAATAAATGTGAAAGGGGACTGCCAAAAGGAGAAGAGAGGAAAACTAATTGGATGTCAGAACAAATGGTAGTAATTACCAAGAAGAGAAGTGTAAGAGAAAGATTTCAGGAAGGAATTGAACAAGTATTTCAGAGAGCTTTTAAAAGAGACAAGGAACGGTGTTACAAGACACTAAGAATGGAAATAGACTCAGGAAAAAAAAGGATAGTGCTCCAAAAGATCTTAGAAGGAGGTTTTAACCTCTAATTGGTATGCTAAAGGAGATCAGTGGATAGATAGTAACTGATTCAGAGAAGATCAAATGAAGGTGGGAAAATATGTACTGAAATTCTCTTACAGTAGAGATGTCACTATCCAAGAACCTTTTTAATCCAATAACTCTGATACTGGAACATGGAGTAAGGTCAGCAGTCTGTCAGTACCAAGTGTTAAAGTTACCATGAATGAATGTAGGCTTTGCTGCCTATTTATATATAATAGCTTGCTCTGCCAGTTTTGGTAGGGATGTGGTTTCTTTGGTGGTTCCTCAGCTGGAGTACTGTTGTCTGCCTGATTGTTTGTCTGGTGTTGATCCCTGCTTATCTGAGTGTTGGCTGCTGGAAGCAATGTGTTCTAGTCTTTTTATAGGTAGTCCTGGATTTATGACTGGTTTTTTAATAGCTATTTAAAGTTACAACAGCTCAGAAATGGTGCTTCATGGTCTGTAAAGCACGTCTGGCTATCATAAAACATTGTAAACCACTCCTCCCCAGGTCAGGTGATCAAGCGCCCCATGAACATGTGATTGCCATTTGGAGTCTTCTCTTCCAGCTTCCCCAGAAAGTCATTGGAGAAACTGAAAGGCAAGGTTGCAAGCTGCTGCCACCTGCCAAAGGATTTTCCCTCCCTCCATGCACATGAGAGGGGGGATCCTTAGCCAGCTGGAGAAATGAAACTTGGAACCTCACGATCTCCATTTTGTTTCTCCAGCGCACAGAGGGGAACTCCCTGCCCTCCTTTGTCAGGAAGCTCTTTTGCTCTCTCCGCTTAACAACTACAGCTGGGAGAGCCGGGATTGCAATCATTGAGCAAAGCAGTCACATGGCTGCCTCACTTAACAACCATTTCACTCAGTGACCGAGATTCTGGTCTCAATTGTGGTTGTAAGTCAACAATTACTCTATTGGTAGGATTGGAAGGATTCCTGAAGGTTGAAAATTCAGTTAGGTTGCTGGGCTTCATAGAAGTCAACCTTGTAATCGAGTCAAGAATAATTTATCTGCCTTTTGTTTTTGCCAAAATATAGGTTGCATCTATAAAATATTTAACACATCATATTAGTTATGCATATTCCATTTTTAAGCTCAAATCATGCATCACTTCTCTAATGAAAGGATACGGTACATGAATTTAGTGGGGAGGAATAAGTGGGAGGAAAGGAGCAGGTTTCCTCCTCTTGATTTATTTTGCTGTTATATATGTTTTATATTGGTTGATTTTTTCCCCCATTGCAAGTACTGTTATGTAATATAAATTTGGCAATAGCCGCAATATACAGTATAAATTATTAGTTTTAACACAGGACAGCTTTTTGGCAAAACAAAAAGTCTTTGGGTCTTTGGCTTTCTCAAAGGAAGAGCAGATCTGGCCTGGTTGGTCTCCCAGTTTTGAGGCTGGCCTCATCACCTGCAATTACCTGGAATGTCTAATGTTTTTTCAGAGACAGCATTGAGCTTTGGATAGAGTGGTAGGCATCCATCCTGTGGAAAAGAATTGCAAGGCTGCCAGGACAAAAATAATGTGTTCCCAGGATAAAAATTAAATTGGACTCAGTTTAAATTAAATGTAGATACAATTATATTAAAGTGATTAAATGGAATTACCTTCTGCCTATTTAATAAGAACACGCAGACTTTCTGTGCTTTACCCAATCCGTGCACAGAACAGCCAAGTTATGCATGCTATGCACCCAGACCATACATTTTCTCCAAACATGACCCAGAGCATGTATGTTCCAAACTTTTCAGGCAATGAAATGAAGAAGAGGCAATGCTGATAGTTTGGTGTTTGAGGGAGAAAAGCAAGTATAAACTAGTTTTGTTGTGCCATGTTTGAATTGGAAGGGAAAGGAAAAGAAGGGACTGGGCAAAAAATTATCTAGGCTGAAACCTACAGCAATTCAGAGCTTCTAGGTTTCAGTTTGATTAACTATGACCTGCTCAGAACCAGTCCAACCAAATTCCCATGGAAAAATGTTTTTTTTTCTATGTAAAAACACATGTTTTAAGAATATTTCTGATTTTTAATCATTTTCCCATTCAGTCACATTAAAAATTAGCTTGGAGACAGTTCAAGGAGGGATTTTAGCAAGGGTGTAAGTTGAATTCTCTAGGTGCCAAAAGAAAGCTCTGAGATGGACCTCCGGCCCACCATTACTTGAAATGTGTGACTACAATTGAGAGAACAAAGTGGTTCTGTTCCCTTGGAATCCACATTCAAGCTGCCTTTGGGAAGAAGGATATCAAAGCAGAAGGAAGTTGCTTAAATATTAGTCCTACTATATTTGGGGCGGAAGAGTCAGATAATTACTAGATGGCAGCAAAGAGTTGAAATGTTCTGAATTTCTTTGTTCTCATCTAATGGCCATCCTAATTGCCTACTTTTTGCCTACTGTCCATCTCCTACTGATAGTGCCACTCTAGAGCAGATAACTAGGTTCCACCATAAGAACATGTCATCCTTCAACCAGACCACAGTCAAGTTTGTTTGGTTAAAAAAAAAGTTGAAGAAGATCTAGGTGGGAGCCCAAGTTGGCTTCTACTCCTGCCTTGACTATACTTATGCCACTGAAATTCTAAGGCTGTAACCAACATTTTGAAAGTCACATCACTCTTGAGACTCAATTTCTGCTCAAGATGTATCCCAACCTTCCATGGACTGTAGGTGCCTAATGTATTGGTTCACAAATCTCAGAACCAGTCAGGTACTCCCAATACACTAGGACAGTGCCAAATTGGAGGAAAGTGCTGTTGATTGCCTGCTGTATTAAAAATTATTGCCGCACCTACAATTCCAAGAATGAGAGGGGAGCCATCTGTCTCATATAGTCACTATTTTTAGACAGTTTTAAAAATAATATGAGGTTCAGACATATTCCTCATTGGAAAAGTAACATATGGGCAAGCTTTCTAAGGGTCAGCTCATGCAACACATTTTAAAGGCATTGGTTTCAGAAGTTCATCTTGTGATTGAAGTTCTATGGAACTCAAAAACTAGAGTGAAATTCACAAGTCAGTTGCCACATGTGGAGACTCCAGAATATACATATGTGTGCATATGTGGTTCTGTTTTGGAGTTTCATATCTACAACTCTTAAAAATAGAACATTAAAATTGCCGTTTTGATTTTTAATTCCAGCAGTTAGCACAAAGCTAGCTTGTCAGTATTTAGTTGCCAATACTTTGCTTGGCATGTACATCAATTTCCTGAAGTTTACATCTGGAGTTTCTGCTCCATTCACATTTATTTTCCCCAAAGTAAATATTATTCCACATGTTGGATAAAGAATGGGGGGAAAACCCTAGCAAAATAACTCTTTATGTCTTTTGGCACCATTATGAGAAGTTTTTATTTAAGCAAACACTTAAGCAGAGATTTAGTCATTTATTGCGGTATATTATATTTGTTACCTGCCCACATCCCATCATATGCTGCTGGGAATAGAGAAGGTAGAGCAGCATCTCTGCTATTGGAGCTCATTCATTCCAGAAAGAGGGATAATAAATAAAAGCAAATAGGAAGGAAATCCATAGTCTTTCTCCAGTCGCCACTCCTATCAGCTTTACTTACAATCTGCAACACCAAGGAATCAAAAGCCACTCACAAATTATATTCTCAGCCCTGTTAGCACAACAGGAAATCAATGCATAGAAAAGGAGTGGATGGACATTCTGTTCTTTTTTTTTTAGTAAAGATGCAGCCAGAATTAGACTAGAAACATGGCTGGCTCAGGAATTCTGGGAGTTGAAGTCCACAAGTCATAAAAGAGCCAAGGTTGCCTACCCCTGAGCTAGACAAATGGGTTTTTTTTACTCTGAAAAAAGAATCTTTTGTATATGAATTGCTGCACGTGTCTTTTTAAAAGTTTAATTTTGTTGCTATTGTTATACACCTCAAACACCTCAAAGAGCAGGTCTTACAATAAATTATAGCACGGGAGGACTGTTTAAGAAAGAGGGAACAAGCTTCTGACAGAGGGGAAGAGATTAAGAGTCTATTTCAAACATCAGCAATTTTTTGGTTTGACGTAAATAACAAGGAGTCTGGGAGCAAAACCTAGATACGGGACTGTTTCGTTAAAAGTAAGTTTCTCCTTTCTCTTTCCCTCTGCTGATTTTCAGAAAGCACCCCAAAGACCTCTGCCAGTTGCAGTCCTGCTCCTGATTCCCCAATGAGTTCCAGCGACTCTGTGAAAAGCTTGACGGAACTAGTCCAGCAGCCCTGTCCGGCCATTGAAACCAGTAAGGAAGGCAAGCTGCAGGAGTCAAGTGAAGCATCAACTTCAGATTCCCACTGCACAACCCCATTGCCTCTCTCCGGCCATTCATCACTCAGCATTCAGGAACTGGTTGCCATGTCACCAGAACTCGATACCTACGGCATCACCAAGCGGGTTAAAGAGGTGCTCACGGACAACAACCTTGGTAAAAAAAACAACAAAGTGTTTGTGTGTGTGTGTATTTCTGATTATCGTTACAGTAAAGGGTTTTTAAATGTTCATTTTTCCTCTGGCGCTGCTAATAGGCCATAACTTCATATGGCCAGTGAATAAATGGTTGTATGTCAAGGGCTTTTTGTGGATGCATGGATGGATGGACGGACAGTAATAATAAGTAATAACTTGAACAATTCTAGTAATATGAAATTATGAAATGTTCAAGAATACAATACACTAGCCCTATGACAACAATTGAGTCCAAAATTTCCATCGCTAAGTAAGACAGTGGTTGAATTTTGCCTCATTTCATGACCTTTCTTGCCACAGTTGTTAAGTGAATCATTGCAGTTGTTCAGTTAGTAACAGTTAGTTACTGCATTAAAATTAGATGACTAAATGATGTTATAGCTTCTCTAAGCTTCATCACTGCTTCTTCCAGTCAGTGCAGTCTTGATTGGTACGGTATATGTATGGAATGCCTTCATATGCTAGCAAATTCTTACAGTAGCAATTGCATGTTGTTCAGTCATACATATTTTATTGGAATAGCCTAATGTTAAGTTATTGTGCAGAATGAACAAACAACATTCATAAATACATTAGACTTCTCTGGTCCTGAGGCTAATTTACTTATTAATGGATTGCTTGAGAATGGATTTCTAACTGGCCATATTCTAGAAAGCAGACCATATTATCCTAAAAATTGAACATTAGATATTAGGAAAACACCTAATATTCCTTGACAAAATCATTATTTATCATGAATAATTCATACTGATTAAATTTACCTCAATGTTGGGGTCATTACAATGAAGAGGAAAAAACAGTAACAGTTAGGGACCTGTAACATTTTCCCATTATTTATTAAGAAGGAATAAAACATGAATAAAACATCTTGAAGGCAAATAAACCTGAATGTGGGAATTTCCCAGTTAATGTTATCTGCCCCATAATTCTTATAGTTCCTGAGATCAAAGAGATAGAAACAAACTTGGTATGAATTGTTTCAAAGTAAATTTATATCTATTAAATTTATTGGGGTTTTTTTCTTTCCACAAATTGTGTTTAAGTGTTTCTGAATATATCAGGCTCTGTTTAACCAACCCGTATTACTTATAGAAATTCTGTTAACGTAAGTGTGGTTGGTGAGAGAGTGCCAAATGCAGGTGTAAATTGGGTCCAATGAATTCATTATCATTCACAATTGTTCCAGACTAGATGCAGAAATTGGGCTTTTTTTTAGATACCTTTTTTTTTGGTTCGGTTATTTTAGAAGCTTGCCTTCTTCACAAGTGAAATGCTTTTATAGTTTGATTCCAAAGATTTTACTTTCTGATTTCCAACATACATTTTTAATATAAGTGTGTCTCTCTGTGTGTGTAAATATGCATGCACAAGGAAAGCTGCTAGAATGGCAGAACTGCTTGCTTTTAATACATGATTGAGCTTCCCATGATGTCATAGGCAAAATTGTGTGGTCCCTAGTTAAAAGACGTTCTTATAGACAAAAGACTGTAAGTTTTCCTTGCATTGTCACTTCACGAACAATCCCAGTTTATTGTATATTTTTCTGAAATCAGAATAGCCAAAAGTCACAGCAGAGCAAACTATACAAATAAGGGTAGTCCTTGAGTTATGACCACAGTTGAGCCCAAAATTGATGTTGCTAAGTGAAACATTTGTTTCAGTGAGTTTGCCCCATTTTATGACTTTTCATGCCACAGTTGTTAAATGAATCATTGCATTTGTTAAGGTAGTAACATGGTTTGTTAAGCGAATCTGGCTTCCTCATTGACTTTGCTTGTCAGATGGTCGCAAAAGCTGATCACTTGACTCCGAGACACCAACTGTCATAAATATGAACCACTTGCCAAGCATCTGAATTTTGATCATGTGACCACAGGAATGCTGCAACGGTCATAAGTATGAAAAATGGTCATAAGTCACTTTTTTAAGAGCCATTGTAACTTTGAATGGTCACTGAATGAACTGTTGCAAGTCGAGGACTATCTGTACATCCAGTTGACTGAAGCTGCACAGTCATTAAGCTGCAGTCATTAAAACATTTGATGGTATGTTAGCAATTTAAGATGGTGCCATCTACAGTAGAAGAGATAACAGCACTCTAAATTGTAAATTACAGGAAATGAAATTCACAAAAGGGAACTCTAAATGTTGATGAACAAACAGATAGTACCTGGGAGTTGTAAAACAGATCATTTCTGCCAATTGTAGTAATTCTTTTTTTTCTCCAGTTTTATTTTCTTTCTGTCCATGTAGGCTAATATTTTATAAAAAAGTTACAATATAGAATTATTTATTTGTAATGAAAAGTAATCTTTGGCTTCTCCAAAATCCCACAGAAGCCACATTTCTCTGTGTGTTTCAGAATGTACAGAAAAACCAAAGTCTCTGATTCTTTTTTCCTTTTGTGGTTCAAGAAGACCATGAGTAGGTGCTATGATTGACACTTGTTCTTAATGTCACTTTACATAAACCTTTAGTGCCCCTGCCATGTTTTTATGTGGCTGGCATTAATGAAGGTATCCAAAGCTTTCATTAGATGTAGAACTCTATATGTCAGCATTTTCTTCATGCTTTCTGTTTGCAAAATCTCTAGATTTTCTAGAGGTGGAATTAATCTCTTTCATGGCTGGTTATCTCTATCTTAGCCAATGTCACTAACATTTCGAATTTTAGCATGAACATAATTGCAAGCTTGTCACATGAGTAGCAAAATCCCCTTCCCCCTTTCTCTCATTCCTCTAGCCTTTGTGTGACAATTGCATCCTGTTCTCTCATCAATAATCAGATTAACCCTCCAAAATAACAATTGTTCCATTTCTGTGTGCATAGTACAGATTTGGTCCATGCTGAGATTCCTGCAGAATATAAAATATTAAATAATCTCAGAGGTTCCACATCAAAGGCTGGTGATGATAGAAAATGTTGCTGAATCCCTACCAGTCCTTGCCAGCCACAGATCTGGTGACCAGTGGACCTATTCAATATGAGATGCCTTCTTACACTCAGATGCCTCACGTGTACGTGAAGGATTAGTGACACTACTCAATTTCTTTTCCTCATTCTTTTTTTGTTGCATCGTGAAATAAGTATAATGGTTCACACATTTCTATGCCATTCTGTTCACCTTTACTGTATTTTATAAGTAACTTAAGATGGTGGGCATACCTAATACTCTTTCCTCCTCGTATTTTCCCTGAGAGAATGATTGGCCTAAAGTCTCCAGGTTGGCTTTCATGCGTAAGGCAGAACTAGAATCCACGGTCTCAAAGTTTCTAGCCTGGTACCTTAACCACTAGATCTTCCTATTTCTCTGCTTAGGATCATGCCAATAATTGTTTTAAGTCCTCAGTAATAGGATAGATATACAAAAAGCAGTGAAGATGATTAATAAATCCAAGCGGGCCAAATTCAGTCCTACATATAAAAGGCTGTCATGTTGGTTCCAAAAGCTACACGTGGTTATTTAAACTACAAAAAATATAGTAATAGTCAAACTTGTACAATATAATTGTTTTACAAAATCTGGTACTCTCAAAATTGTAAGGTACATTTCTTGTTTTTAATAAGTATTCTATAGTAAAGTGACTACTGTAAGTAGTTCCAGTGTTAACAACTCAGTAACTTTTAGTAACAATGGAGTCTTGAAAGGAGATGAGTTTCCCTGTTCCCTTCGGCCACTTTCTGGTCAGAAGTCTCCCTTCTGTAATGCAAGTCCTCAGAGAAATTTTCCATCAGCTTGAATTTAGGGGGAAAAAGATTCTTGTTGAGGATCAACTGGAGGGAGAACTAAAGACCTCCACCAGCAGGACTCCTGAAGTAATAGGACTTTGGAGGAGGAGGAAGATGTTCTTTCCCTTATGGAGGTCAACAGAAATATCACTTGCATGAAGAGAAAATGACATAGCGATTGCCAAAGTCTAAAGATGCACACCGGCATCTTCAGGAACTGGGTTGCTGACCCCCCTGTTAGAATAAAGTACTCTGACAAGACAAAAAATAGAAGACATAGCCACAAACACAAATTTTCAGGCCTATAAAAGTTGCTAAAAATGGTCCCTTTGGATTGTGTATATTGTGTAGATGACTGAACACAAGCAGTTATCCCTGGTGAAATATTCACATCCAGATCCTATTTTTGCATGAAATTTGGGGTGTGGGAGGGGGCTTGTCAAGTACTCAATTTCATTTATAGATATATGACAATAGTAATCTATATGTTGAGATGTAATTCCTCTGCTTGAATTTAAAGCCTTTTGCCACAGCTCTTGTTTTCCTTCACTGAGACAATTTTCCTCCTCTGTGCTTCAGTTACAGCTAGAGAAAACTCCACTGAATTCCCCTCTGTATTCATTCCACTGCCCAGATGTAGAAGAAAAAAATACCGTAAGCTCCATAGGACAAATAGAAAGTTTCCTCTCACACCCTCCATCCTCATCCATCTTCTTTGTACAGGGACCTTTTCATCCAAGAATAGTTCAGTATTAAGAGGAAGGTTGCCTAGAAAGCTCAGAAAGCTCTTGAAAATGAAGAGGAATATTTGATATAATCCCACTCTCCCACTTTTCTGTTCAATATATATCATGTCGTAAGTTTAACTCTGACATAAAAGAGTTCAGCTCCAGAACAAGAATGGATATATCAAAATACTGTACAATTTTTTTAAAAAAAAATATATACTTCTGTAAAAACAGCATTAGCCAGAATAAGCAGTTTATCTAAAGTCAAAAGGTTTAGCAAAATGGAAATGTCTGTGCCAGTTGAAAAAAAAAATGTCTGAAGAGACATCAGTCCCTGTGGAGACTGTTTGAAAGCTGCCGATTAAAACTCCTTTGCTACATATCCAAGATGGGAAAACCCGTTGATGAAAGCACCTCCAAGTGAAAGGTTCTTGAACCATCATGGCTTCTTCTCACAATCAATATTGCTTAATTCTATCAATCTGTTGATATGCTTCTCTTTATTAATTAATAGATTTTTGGAATATTTTTAAGTGTTCCCCAGCCACAAAAATAAAGACAATCAATATGATAATCAACTATATAGTAAAACTTTAAACAAGAAGGTGAGAGTAGGAGGCAAAAGCATATTGAATGTTTTATTCAATATAAATTAATGATTAAATAATAAGTAAATGGATAAATACATAAATATAAATCCAATATAAAATATTGAAACCAACCAATGCCAACGGCAGATAAGCATCTGTTTTAAAACCAGGGACCATAGTCATACAAAGGAAACTGTAGGAGGTGTGGAGATAAGAAGACGCTGCTGGCAGTTTTCAATATGATGGCTTGAAAGAGACCACAGATGGAAGAAGGGAGTGCTAATGAATACTGGTTGCAGAGAGCTAGTAGCAAGAAAGGTTTTTGATAAACTGTATTAGTGGTCCAGAATGTGATAACCACCTCACTGGATTGGGCATCAGTCATGCACATATTACTTTGTTTGCTAATGAAGTGACCATCCCACTTACCCATCACTCTTTGAGCCAAGTTCAGGAGTTGGCTTTTGGCATGTAAATATTTTGTGTCAGTGGCTAGACACCAGAACTACACAGCGATGCCTTGTTAGCCAAGGAGGGCCTTCTTCATGGTAGTACCTACACCCTGAACCTTTCTGAAATTATTGTGGCAGCACTTATTATATCCTTTACGGTTTTGGGGGCGACTTATTGTTCCGCCTAGGACAGGCCTTCTCTGTTATAAATGGTGCATGGAAGGGTCTTTTGCTTCTATTTTCTTCTCCACCAGGACATTGTCAATTAATTCTAGTTTATACTGTTTTCATTTCTTTTTTTATTATTGCATTTTATATTTTGGAAAATGATTTGAGATTGGTTTTCATAGGAGATAGTTTTTAGATATAACAGATAAATAAGTGGAGCCAATTACCCACAGGTAGTAGATTTCTCTTTCCTGAATGTGTTCAAGCAGAGGCTAGATAACCAGGTTATTTATTAAATTTATATGCCACCCATCCCACCATCAAACCATCTTATTGGTGATAGTTTGGCTTGGATCCCTGCAGATAGCAGAAGGTTAGACTTGCTGGCTTACATCCAGAGTTTGTTTTGTCTCTATGCCTTCAGGTCCATCTTGACTCTTTGTAACTACATGGACTCTTGGAAGGGGTTTCCCATTGTCTCCTTCATTAGGGTTGAGACAGAGTGAATGGCCTTAAGTTAGTCAGTCTCCTGGTAAAAGAAAAGGTTAAAGCCTAAGACCTTTAACCTCTTCTTTCAGTTCTCTGCTTCTGTTGTTCTAATGGAGCTTTGGTGAGTAGATTACATTGCCTTCCCATTTTGGCACCTTCCAGATGGATTAGACCAGTGTTTCTCAACCTTGACAATTTTAAGGCATGTGGACTTCAACTCCCAGAATTCCACAGCCAGCAATGCTGGCTGTGGAATTCTGGGAGTTGAAGTCCACATGCCTTAAAATTGTCAAGGTTGAGAAACACTGGTTCCAGAATGCTTACCCAATTATAGTCTCAACGTATCTGGAGGATGATGAGTTGGTCAGTGTCGTATCTAGTAAATGTTTCCAGTAAGGCAATGCTTGCTAAAATGAAATCAATCCAAGGAAATTATTTTCTATTTCAAAAAAAGTTGCATAAATTACATTTATGGGATGGAAGAAGAACAGGGAAGACAGACATCTTTCCGCAGCCATCCTTTTAGGCACTGCTGCAAAGATAAACCAGAGCATTCTAAGAATTAGGAACCTTCAAATTTGTATAATTAACATCAAATTGGAAGGAGAAGTACTGTAGTCCTTTTAAGTTTCCACAGATTCAGGTGAGCATTAGAACAGAATCATTCACTAAGAAAGTTTCTGTGAAGGCAAAAATAGATAAAATGAAAACTTTCCATCCTGATAGTTAAGGTTCATTTGGTCTCGGAATTTAAAAAACACACAGCTTGCCCTCCAGAAGGCTTTGTCATGCCAGCGGCTGAGTAGGGAGCAAGGGTGTGCCAGGTTGATTGTTTGAATGGTTTTGATTAGCTTAATGGAATGGCACTCTTATGAAGCCTGACCACGGTACGGTTTGAGCATCTGGTGCCCTGAATGGCAGGAGCTGACTAAGGAAATACAGGTTGGAAATTGTTTCAGTCTGTTGCTAGTCTTTGTTTTCATTATCTCCCCTTGTAAGGTCCTCAACCTTGAACAGCAGGAAGTCCTCCCAGCTAGGAGAATCAGTCTTGTCCTTTTGCCCATGAAAACAGCAACCCTAGGGGAAGGACAACGTTATCCAGATAATTAGACCTTCAAAGAAATTAGAGGGGGAGGGAGTTCTTTTACATTCGCTCATGGGCCTGCATTTGGGTGTGATTCATTTGGTTTGAAGCTGCAGTCTTGAAGTCTTGCAGCTGTCATAACCATAATCGATTGGTAGGGATTGCGGGAGGAGATGCCCTGCTTTGGGCACAACACATGTGTCTGCATCAGCTCCTATGACTGGCAAGAAATATGAATATGTTTTTATCTGCTTACTGGATTCATATCCCACCTTTCTTTCAGTGGAGGCAGCAAACATGGCACTCCATGTCTGTCCCCGGAACAGCAACCCTTTGAGGGAGGTTGGGCAGAGAGAGAGAGAGAGAGAGAGGCTGGCCCTGTATCATGTCATCACAGGAGCTTCCAGGAGTAAAATCTGGGATTCTGTGGTTCCAGTCCAGGCCTTAACTATTACAAGACAGTCATAAATTATTGTAGAACAGGCCTTTCTACCCTCAAAAGGCATTATGCATTTCTTCCCTCAGCTTCATTTTCCATAAATCATTTCGGGAACTCCAGAATCAAAAGGTTGTTTTTTTTTAATTTCCATTGTGGATTTATATCCCACTTCACTGCTGGAGTCTTTAAAGCACGTCGTTAATTCTGATTTTAATCATATCTAATTTGGATTACAGTATAATGCTAGTCTATCCCACTTTCTACTATTATTTGCATGTCTGCTTTCATGAGATCACTTTACAAGCCCTCTTTAATGAAAAGCATTAATCGTCATTTGACTTTATTAAATAAAAGAGATTTTAGGGGGAAATGTATGAAAGTATCTGTCTAATGCTAGATCATTGTTGGATTTGGTTTTGTTTGCTTTTTGGTTTCTTTGTTTGTTTGTTTATCAGGTTTAGAAATTGCCCATCTTCCTTAGAGAGTGACTTTTTTTTAAGGCCTTCAAGTCAGTTTTGACTCCTTGTGACTGCCTGGATATTTTCCCTGCAGTTCCTTGGAAAGATTTCAGATGTGGCTTGCCACTGCTTGCTTCCTTGGGCTGAGAGACAGTGACTGGTCCAAAGTCACCCAGCTGGTTTTATACCTAACAACTCACAGTCTCCTGGTTCCTAGTCTGGTACCTTAACACCAGGCTGGCTCTCGCTGCACAGAATTTCAAATACAGGAAGGTAGAAAAGTTTGAGCTGGCCACCTGTTTTGGTGAATACCTGTTGGAGGTATAGCCCTGTGACATTCTTGGTTATTGCAAGATGTTTACCATTCAGATACCCTTTGCTAGAGTGTCTCTTCTTTGTCTCGTGTGTTCTAGAACCGACTCAGAATCCGAAATGATTTTTCAAAGACTAAGAGCTTCTGAATCAAAGTGTTCCTTGTAGCGTGACCTAAGGAGCAAGCTAATTTTTTTCACAGCCACTACAGAAAACAGGAGCATTTTATTGTGACCCCACTCCGTGAATGAATTTGTGTGCTAAATTCCAGGCCTTTGAGATGAAAAGCATTTAAGGACTGACTGTGATCAGTCTTCCTCTTCAGTACAGATACCAGGTAGCTCTCTAGGGGCCAAAAGAATTAGCCATCTCCCTATAAACTGCTTGCTGGTTCTTAGGTATTGTATCCTTCCTGTTAAGTAAAGCCCAAACAATCGAGCATCTTTTGATTTTCAAGTATATTGTTTTTTTCCTTCATTTGCGTCCAGATCTATAAAGTCTTGTTTCTCTTGTACTTGGTATTTTTTCTTTTTTTTCTTTCTTTTTTCTTTTTAGCACAAATAACCTGATGTTTGCCGTTCTTTTTCAGGTCAGCGTTTGTTTGGGGAAACGATACTGGGGCTGACCCAAGGCTCCGTCTCAGACCTACTTGCTCGCCCAAAGCCCTGGCACAAACTGAGCTTGAAGGGCCGGGAGCCATTTGTGCGCATGCAGCTGTGGCTCAATGACCCCAACAATGTGGAAAAGCTGATGGACATGAAGCGCATGGAGAAGAAAGGTAACTTCTGTCCCTTCTGCAGTCGAAGGGAGGGGATTGATGTCCAGCCCAGGATGACTCTCTCGTTTAATTGAAAATGTTTTCAATATGTTTCAAATATCACTGGCCAAGAGCGTAACCTTCTGAGTCATGCAGTTCCCACAGCTTGTGGGCCACCCAGAGTTGGTGTTTTCAGTTGGGTTGCCTTAGATATCCAAAATAAATAAATAAATAAAAAACATCGAAAAGGTTAGTGTGTGGGAAGAAGCGTTTAATATGATCTAGGAAGGTTAAAATTAGACAAAAGCACGCACATTGGTGCATACAATTAAACTAACCCAGCAGCCAGTTAGATGTTCGATCCCCTCCTGAGCAAAAAGAGGGGATGTAATTCTGATAATTAAATGAAAAAATAAGTAATCCACTAAAAAGCCAAACTTGCAAGCCTTAGCTCACCTTTCAAATTGTTTGGAGGATGCACGAAGTGAATATTTCAATTCCACTTGGAGAAGATGGTTCTGTAGGTATCTCAGAGCCCACCTATAGAGGGGTTTTGTAGATTAAAGCTGCCATTTGAATTGCACTTAGAAGGCAGTAGGAAGTGACTACAGGTTTACTAGCTGGCTCAGAATTGTTTTAACTGTAATCCCACATAGACCATATGCAGTAATCCAAGCACATACAGGTAGTCCTCAACTTACAACCACAATTGGGACCAGGGCATCTATCACTAAGCCATATGGTCATTAAGTGAATTATGCCTGATTTTATGACATTTTTGCTGTGGTTGTTAAGCAAATCACATGGTCATTAAGTGAATCCAGCTTCCTCCATTAATTTTGCTGTCGGGGGTCCCCTGGGTGGACTGCAAATGGGCAATCACATGATCCCCTGGACATTGCAACTGTCGTAAATTCATGCCAGTTGACAAGCACCCAGATTTTGATCATGTGATTGCAGGGAGAGTATGATGGTTATAAGTGTGAGGACTGATCATAAGTCACTTTTTTCAATGCCATCATAACTTTGAATGGTCATTAAACAAATGGTCATAAGCTGAGGACTACCTACAGTGATGGGGTCATTATCACAATGTCTTCCCGTTCTAGTAGGGCAGTAACTAATAAACCAGCCAGAACTGGGGAAGAACCCCTCTGCCTGGTAGCTACGGCCCCCACTTGTCCATGCAGCAATAGCTATGAGTTACTTACATATTGCTTCAGAGCCAGTACACATATTAAGAAACAGTACTGAAGTAATGTCAACTGTCCAGTAGGCATTTCCAGAAAAAGAAACGCCTGGGACATTATTTTACCAAGAGTATTATTATACTTTACTGAAAAATTCACATTTGGCACATAAGAAAGCGAAACCAGCTCTGGGGTTGCTGCTCGGAAATGTGCTTAGTTAAATGATAGACTCCCCCACCCCCACCCACCGGGTGTTCACATTGTCCAATAGTAATAAATCTCTTCTGAGAGCCTTGATGTAGAAGCAACTTCACCTTGCTATGTTTTACTATAGCTTCAGCCTATTTTGTCTCATCCACACTCAGTAACCTTATATACTAGGACAAGGCATCAACAGCATCTCCTATGCAGTCTGGGGTAGTGATGCACAATTGGATATGATCAATATACAGAGGATATTGTATGTCAGACTAATGAAAGAACTCACAGTCAGTTTATATAGCTATTGAGGTACCTCTTCCACCATCAGCTGGAACTGACTGTTAAGGAAGGAGCAGAAACACTGTAAAGCAGTGCTTTCAATTCCCAATCCTCATAGGCCATGCAGGAGAAATGTTCAGTGGGCCTCCATCAGAAGGAAAAAAGACAGCCAAGAGGTCTCAGAAGATCAAGAACGGTGCAATACTTCCATCCAAATCCTGACCAGGGTCATCAACACAATTTCTTTGAAATTGCATGGCTAATAAATTCAAATAAATAAATAAAACCACTTTCATCTCTGTCATATCTCCAGGCCTTGAACCCTCACTGAAAAAAAAGCTCCATATTATTTGTTCCTTATAGACCTTTGTGTTAATAATCTCCCTTAAAAAGGAAAGATTAGAGACCAGATGGTTGTCAAGAATAGATAAAGGGGCTCTTAAGGAATGGTGCACCACAGCCTCTTTTAAGGATATAGGCACAACTCTTCCCAAATGAGCACTGGTAAACCTCCTGGATCCAGTTCATTATTTACCATCCACTACCACCACAGCTACACATAGGAGCTGAGGAGGCATGGATGCATCCCACAAACAGCAATAAACATACCAAAGACAGCACCCTATCCAATTACTCAGATTTAACAAGTCAAAATGAGTTCCAGATAATGTATCAAGTTGTACCACTTTATACAACCTTAGGAAGGCCACATCTGGAATACTGCATCCAGTTTTGGTCACCACATTACAAAAAAGATATCGAGACTTTGGAAAAAGTGCAGAAAAAAGCAACTAAGATGATTAAAGGCCTAGAGACTAAAACATATGAAGAACGGTTGCAGGATTTGGATTTGGCTAGTTTAGAGAAAATAAGGACTAGGGGTGACGTGATATCAGCGTTCCAGTATTTGAGGGGCTGCCACAAAGAAGACGGGGTCAGCTTATTTTCCAAAGCATCAGAGGGCAGGACAAGAAACAGGAGAAACTTCCTAACAGAACAATTGACCAGTAGAACATCTTGCCTTCAGAAGTTGTGAGTGCTTCATCACAGGAGGTTTTTAAGAAGAGACTGGACAGCCACTTGTCTAAAATGGTATAGGGTCTCCTGCTTGATCAGGGGTTGGACTAGAAGACCTCCTTTCCAGCTCTATTCTGAATTTGAATTTGTAGCCCAGATTGGCCTCTGCCCAATATTGCTTCTGATTCAGAAGAGAGAAAACAACCATCAAGACTAATAGCCACCAATAACCTAATCATCTTTGAATTAGTTCATTCTCCTCTTAATTAAAGCTATCTGGCCACCATATCTGAACTGTCATCTTTTATTGTCTTTGTTTTATAATATTTTATTTCCAGAGTAGTAGAAAAACTCATCACTTTTCACGGTTATCATGTCTCCAATATTAGGAGGATACTAGATTGGGTCAGGCTGTAATAGATGGTCATAAGGTTTTCATAAATGATTTCACCACTCCTGGAAATTAATAACAGCTACAGGAATATAAGTTTCCGATGATTGTAAGTCATCAAAACAATCATCTCCCAACTTTAAATTCAGGAAAGCAGAATCACAAATTCCATAGGCTCCAAGCGCCCTCTTGTGCTCTGAAATGCTGATAACTCTTCAAACAACTTGTTCAAAATATTTAACAAGCAGAACAACCAGGGTAGTGTGGAATAATCTGATTCACCCAAGACCAATTAATCAAATTTAGTCTGTTGCAATCATAAACCTGTATGGGGATGGGGTACAGCCATTACAAAGCAGCATAAAAAATCAAGATATGTAGGTGTATATGTTTATATATAAAATCTATAAAGAATTACAAAAAGCTAGTAGATATAAAAGATACATAAATTAAAAGCTAAAGTATATATACAAATTTGAAGCTTTTAAGTGGTCTTCAAGGGTAGCCCCATGTATGGATGTGATATAGTATGTGTAGAGTTTGTAGCCATCCTTAGTAAAGTTAACAAGTATTAAAATCATTAGGTTATTTGATTTAACTTTTTAATTAATTTAAGAAATATAAAATTACTTGAGGCATAGTTATGCAGGACATGACTGCTATTGTAAAAGAGCTTTTCGGTCTTTAACAATAAATATAAATGAAATGCAGACCCACCGTTCTCTCTCTAGAGAAAGGAGGTAGATTCCTTGTGGTTGGCAGAAATGGCAGTTCAAGGATACTCATGTTTACAGGGAGAGCTATAATTAAGAAATAGATGCTTTGCCAGCAGAAATCCTCCAGTGTGACCTCCAGCATCTCAGGTTGGATAGATGGGACTGTGGGCTAGCTGCAGGACCAATAAATGTGGCCTGAGATGGGCTGCAAATCAGGCATCTGAATCGGCAGACAAAAATCCAGGAGCCAACCCCATATTTACATCAAGTGAAGGCTGAGTTCCAAAGTAACAAAACAGGACTGAAAGAGGTAGGAGCAGACATTAAAAGATAGAGGCATCTCTAAGGATTGCAAGCTGAAGCATCAATCAGGGAACAGAAACATTAGGTAGATAAGTCTGGTTCAGTTACAAAGATTTTCATGGAGGCTGGTGTGTCCTGATTTCTGTTAAGACATGCCAGATGAGCAGTTGGCTCTCTCAGACTGGAATCTCAGTATAGAAATCACCTTTTTTTTCTTCTTAAGGCACCTGCAAGCATATGTTTTTCAGATGAGTTTGAATTGTAACTCACACAGTAGGCAAGACATTAATTGTCAAAGGTCAACTTGCCTGGCCTCCTGTGGAGCTAAGCCAGAGATAGGCAGACTTCAGGATGGTGAAATTTGTATTGTAGTTCATCACACAGTTGTTTAGACTGGATTTGGTATTTTTATCCGCCTATAGAGTCCTGGAATAGGCAGATGTTATTTGATAGTGTTAAAGGTCCTTGTCACAGGATGCAGGCTGTTCCAAGTAAAGCTGCCTTTTACAATTGTCTGACGGTGATTTTTTAGATGCCAATGGTGTTCAGGTGGCACTCCAGATATTTTGGAATCAAAGGCGCCTATTACTATTGGCACTGTCTTTGCTTTCTTTTGCCACAGTCATTCTACTTCTATTTTCAGATCTTAGTATTTTGTAATTTCCTCCAGTTCTTTCTCTTCTATTCTGCTGTCTTCAGGTACTCCAGTGTCCACTATCCAGACATTTGTTTTGTCTTTCTTTTCAACAATTGTTAAGTGTTAAGTGTTAGTGCAGGTGTTTGCTTGAATTCTGAAGATTAGAAGCTGCTCAGGGCTGGTTATAAGATGGGCAGCTATACTGTATAAATGTTTTAAATAAATAAAGTCCCAGAGCACCTTAGGTTTTCATTTTCTATTATTTTGTCTATTTTGGGGTCCCACTAGTTCTTGTTTGTAGTCAGTCTGTGCAAAATTCTTTCAGCAATTAACTAGGTGGTTCACTGATTGTTAATATTATTACTGAATATAAAATATGTCCCTGCTGAAAACTTAGGCAAAAGATAAGCACTTATAGGTACCAAATTCTAAACTCAAAAATTTATTTTAAGGTTTATAATTAAAAATCAAACAAAGCCCCTTTGATTTATTAAGCCAAGCACTGTTTCAATACTTAAATGCGGAAAGAGAGGAGTATTGCTGCAAATGTTAAACTGTTAGGGGACAGCTGTCTTTTGCCATTCACCAAAAGATTTTCCAGGAGATCCTGCCCTACCATCTGATTTGATCTGTGAGATACAATCTTGTTTATCAGCTTCTGAGCGCATTTCAGACTCCACATAGGACCCTACAGGATGGCTAGAAACATCTTGTGCATGAAACATGAAAAGAGACTGTCAATCGTAATAGATGTGTCTTGGCTAAGTAAAACAATTTTAAGTAGATTTCATATGCCCCGTAGAGTTGCAGAACCTTCTCATTAAGAACCAGCTTTCCCATTTGTTGCTTTTGTCTCTAGCTGACAGCATGGCTTCCTTTGTTTTCCAGCATACATGAAACGGCGGCACAGCTCAGTCAGTGACAGCCAGCCTTCAGAATCATCTTCCACTGGAATAGATTACAGCCAGGGGGCCAGCCCACAACCACACCATCAGCTCAAGAAGCCACGGGTTGTCTTGGCTCCAGAAGAGAAAGAAGCTCTGAAACGAGCCTATCAGCAAAAGCCATACCCATCACCAAAAACTATTGAGGAACTTGCCACACAGCTCAACTTGAAGACCAGCACAGTCATTAATTGGTTCCACAATTATAGGTGGGTAGCTTTCCAGGTTTTCCCAGGTTTCTGTTTTACTGCAGAACCAGCAGTCTTTGTGCCCTTTTCCTCACAAAAGCCCCTTGGGAGGGGAATTGCTTTATTACAGATTAGTTTCAGCTGTGTAGTTTGGTCTGTGTCTAACAGAAGCAGTGTACAGGTAATCCTCAGTTTACGACCATTCGGTCAGAGACCATACCAAGAATGAATGGTGGTTATAATCAGTTCTCAGTGTTCAGACCAACACAGCATCCCCATAGTCACGTGATTGTGATCTGAGTACTAGGCAACCCATTCACGCTTACAACCATTTGCCAAGCATCCCACAATCACGTAATCACCATTTGCAACCTTCTCTGCCAGCTTACCCAGAAAAATCAGTGGGGAAAATGGCAGGGAAGGTTGCAGGTTGCTGGGGTGACTCTCCTCCACCCTCACATCCTCCCCCAGCTCCTCTGACATCACACTTTACAGGGAGTCCTTGTCTTACGACCACAATTGAGCCCAAATTTTCTGTTGCTAAGTGAAACATTTGTTAACTGAATTTTGCTCCATTTTACAACCTTTCTTGCCACAATTGTTAAGTGAACCGCTGCAGCTGTTAATTTAGCAACACAGCTGATAAGTGGATCTGGCTTCCCCATTGACTTTGCTTGTCCGAAGGGTCACCAAAAATGATCACATGACCCCCGGGACATTGCAACCGTCATAAATATGAACCAGTTGCCAAGCATCTGAATTTTTATCACATCACCATGAGAATGCTGTGTGAAAAACGGTCATATGTCCCTTTTATCAGCACTGTTGTAACTTTGAACGGTCACTAAATGAACTGTTGTAAGTTGAGGATTACCTATACTGCCTGCTTGGAGGCCCTCCCTCATCCTCCCTGTGCCACATCTCTCAGGCGCTCCCTCGTACACCCTCCCCGACCTGCATAGTGCCTCTTGTGCACAACCTCATACATCCAACCAATACCGCATCACACCTCTTGATCATCCCCTTACACTCTCTCTGACCTACCCCATGCCTCTCAGGCACCCAATCCACACCACACCACACCTATCACACAAACACAACCAACACACACACAAACACACAAACCTCTTGATCAGTTGGCGGCCGTGGCCAGGGGGACGTTTTATCGGGTACGCCTGATTCACCAATTGCGGCCTTTTTTGGATCGGGACGCCTTGCGCACAGTCACTCATGCCCTTGTCACCTCCCGCCTGGACTACTGTAACGCTCTCTACATGGGGCTTCCCTTGAGGAGCACTCGGAGGCTTCAGTTAGTCCAGAATGCAGCAGNTCAACTTGAAGACCAGCACAGTCATTAATTGGTTCCACAATTATAGGTGGGTAGCTTTCCAGGTTTTCCCAGGTTTCTGTTTTACTGCAGAACCAGCAGTCTTTGTGCCCTTTTCCTCACAAAAGCCCCTTGGGAGGGGAATTGCTTTATTACAGATTAGTTTCAGCTGTGTAGTTTGGTCTGTGTCTAACAGAAGCAGCGTACAGGTAATCCTCAGTTTACGACCATTCGGTCAGAGACCATACCAAGAATGAATGGTGGTTATAATCAGTTCTCAGAGTTCAGACCAACACAGCATCCCCATAGTCACGTGATTGTGATCTGAGTACTAGGCAACCCATTCACGCTTACAACCATTTGCCAAGCATCCCACAATCACGTAATCACCATTTGCAACCTTCTCTGCCAGCTTACCCAGAAAAATCAGTGGGGAAAATGGCAGGGAAGGTTGCAGGTTGCTGGGGTGACTCTCCTCCACCCTCACATCCTCCCCCAGCTCCTCTGACATCACACTTTACAGGGAGTCCTTGTCTTACGACCACAATTGAGCCCAAATTTTCTGTTGCTAAGTGAAACATTTGTTAACTGAATTTTGCTCCATTTTACAACCTTTCTTGCCACAATTGTTAAGTGAACCGCTGCAGCTGTTAATTTAGTAACACAGCTGATAAGTGGATCTGGCTTCCCCATTGACTTTGCTTGCCCGAAGGCTCACCAAAAATGATCACATGACCCCGGGACGTTGCAACCGTCATAAATATGAACCAGTTGCCAAGCATCTGAATTTTTATCACATCACCATGAGGATGCTGTGTGAAAAACGGTCATATGTCCCTTTTATCAGCACTGTTGTAACTTCGAACGGTCACTAAATGAACTGTTGTAAGTTGAGGATTACCTATACTGCCTGCTTGGAGGCCCTCCCTCATCCTCCCTGTGCCACATCTCTCAGGCGCTCCCTCGTACACCCTCCCCGACCTGCATAGTGCCTCTTGTGTGTAACCTCATACATCCAACCGATACCGCATCACACCTCTTGATCATCCCCTTGCACCCTCTCTGACCTACCCCATGCCTCTCAGGCACCCAATCCACACCACACCACACCTATCACACAAACACACCCAACACACACACACAAAGACACAAACCTCTTGATCATCCCCTTGCACCCTCTCTGACCTACCCCATGCCTCTCAGGCACCCAATCCACACCACACCTATCACACACACACACAAACACACAACACACACCATGCCTTTAGTGCACCCTCATGTACCTGATCCCTGCTGTGCCTCTCACATCCCCCACCCACTTCCCTCCCTTTGGGCCTGGGACTTGCAACTTGCTGCTTCCCAACTGACTTGTTGTGGGAAGCCAGCAGCAAAGTGCCTCGCCTAACGACCGTGAGATTCAGTTAATGATGTCAAATAGGACTGCAGGATTGCTGTCACCAAGTGATGCAGTTTTGCTTTACAACTGCATCACTTAGCGATGGAAATTCTGGTCCCAATTGCTATTGTAAGTCAGGGATTACTAGTGTAGTGAATAGACCATTTTGATCAAGTACATAATAGGACTTCACTGTTAGATAACTGTATCAAATTAATGTCTTAATCGCTTTGTGCACCTAGTTAATAAGGTTTTCTTTTAAAAAGCATACTTATAAAATCCACAACTAGCAAATGCTTCCTTTAGAAGAGGCATGTCCTACTGAGTTAGAAAGAAACATCTCTTTCTAACTAATTGCACTGCAGCTGAAATCATTAAAATAAAGTTTAGGAATAACAGAGCTGGAAGAGACCTTGGAGGTCTTTTAGTCCAACCTCCTGCTCAGACAGGAAACCCTAGACCATTTCCTCTTGGAAGAAGATGGTCTTTTTTCTCATATGCCATTTGTGAATTATATAGAATGTATCTGAGAAAAGGCCATTTAAATCTCAACATGCTTACTTAGGCTGCAGAAAACTCAGGAATTTGGGACGCTCTCCCCAAGATGATAGGACAGTTTGGAAGTCTCCTTCTGCGATCAGAAGGAGAGAGCAAGATTGGACTTTGGAGGGGAGAAACTGATCACAGGAAATCCTCTCTTTCCCTCCAACCAAACTTCTAGGCATGTTTTTCCAATAAGAGATCCTCGGAAAAGGGGAAGAATGATTAGGTAGAAGGAGGATAGACATATTCCAGGAGAGACAATGAATACAGGGAGCCCTTGACCGATGACTATTCATTTAGCAGCCAAAAGTTATAACAGTGCTGAAAAAAGTGATTACATAATCATGATTTGGGTGCTTGTTGCACATTTATGATAGTCCCAGCATCACCAGATACCATTTGCAACCTTTCCAGCTGGCTTCTGACAAGCCAAATCAATGGGGAAGCCGGCAAGGAAGATCACAGGTTGTGGTCATGTGATGTCTTGCTTAATGACTGCAGCAATTCATTTAATAACTATAGAAAAAAGGTGGTAAAATCAGGTATAGTCACATGATGCCTCATTTATTGACTGCACTGCTTAATGACTGCTCTGTGTGCTCGCTTAAGCTACTCTGAAGCATGTCTTTCCTATTCTTGGAATAGGGCAGTGGTGGCGAACCTATGGCACACGTGCCAGAGGCGGCACTCAGAGCCCTCTCTGTGGGCACCCGCGCCATGCCCCGGAGATGCCATCTGTCCTCTTCAACCAGCCGCCCGCTAACTTGCCGATGCAGGTCCCACCTGGCCGGATGCATCCCAGCACCCATGCGCTTGCTGGCCTCTGTGTGCAGGGGCCGATGGTGCCAGGCCCCTGTCTCGCCCTGCGACAATGGCACCCCGCCTCACCTTGCCTCGCCTCACCCCGCAGGACCAGCCTCCTGCCTACCGCCCCACCTGCCAGAGACCCCCTGGATCTCCCCCAACCCTGCCCGGCCCCCACAGGTGTCCCTCCCCAGAAGCAACATCAAGTTGGCCATGACCACTGTAGCCACGCCCACCCAGCAGGCCACACCCACCCAGCACCCGGCAATACATAAGTGGGTTTTGGGTTGAAGTTTGGGCACTCGGTCTCTAAAAGGTTCGCCATCACTGGAATAGGATGCTGAATTTTTCATAGCCTTGTAACACCTTACATTGGATGTTCCAAGGTGAGTGGCAAATTGCTCTATAAATGATCTGTATTAATTTAAGTCTGAACTGAAGTTTCTTCAGTGAAATTTTATTTCAGATTCTCTACTAAGGCATGAATCTCCAAGGATGGAGTCTTGCTTAATTCAGTCTCTTGCCTTCAGGACGTACAGGTAGTCCCCAACTTACAACAGTTTGTTTAGTGACCATTCAAAGTTACAATGGCACTGCAAAAAAGTGACTTATAACCATTTTTCACACTTACGACCGTTGCAGCATCCCCACGGTCAGGTGTTCAAAATTCAGACATTTGGCAACTGACTCATATTTATGACGGTTGCAGCATCCCAGAGTCCTGTGATCACGTTTTGTGACCTTCTGACAAGCAGTGTCAGTGGGGAAGCCAGATTCGCTTAACAACTGTGGTAAGCAAGGTTGTAAAATGAGGCAAAACTCACTTAAAAATGTCTCAATTAGCAAAAGACATTTTGGGCTCAATTGTGGTCTTAAGTCGAGGACTACCTATACAGCCTTGTTGCCCTCAAGGTCGCACGGGTAGCCCCTGTTGAACTGTAAATGTTATTTAGAATCAGGGAATTACTAAATGCATGGAGAAGATACACTATTAACTGTATTAAATAAATTGAGTTCCAATTAATTCCAATTTAGCTTTTATCCTGACTTTACCCCCAAAGCTTTGTGTCACCCTCACCCAGAAAGGTTGCCTGTCTTCCTCTCAGCCTGCGTAACCTCTGTAATGATGGTGGAATCATCCCATTTGATGTCCTTGGAGGAAGTGCCAGGTGCAACCGGTGGTGACACTCCTTTCTCACCTGTTTCTTTCAGGTCACGTATTCGTCGAGAGCTGTTTATTGAAGAAATCCAAGCTGGAGGCCAGAGCCAGGCTGGGTCGAGTGACTCTCCTTCAGCTAGAAGCAGCCGGGCAGTTCACAGCTCTGAAGGAGACAGTTGTGATGGGGTGGACACAGAAGGCCCATCCGATACAAAACAAGGCAGCCTGGAAGCAGATGAGTACAGCAATGCAACCATGAAGTCTCAGGGAGGGCGAGCAGCGTCAGCTTTCGAAGCAGGGGAAGAGGCACTGCGAGACGCCGGATCTTCGGAGAAAACGGAGACATTCCAGTTGGGAATGGAGAGCTTGGAAGACACAGATGACGAGGGAAGGCTCAAAGCACCACGTCGGGGTTCTCCCCTGAGCTCTCAACATTCAGGAGAAACTCTGGAGGCCAGGCCCAACTGTGCTCCAGAAGAGGATGCCTCTACCTCAGTCCTTGCAGGGCAGAGCTCCTGCAAGCCCAGGGGAGAAAGTGTGGAGAAAGTGCCCATTGTGCCAAGTACCAGTTCCACGCTGGCCACCACCAGCTCTCAGAAATCCAACTCACTCAAGAGCTTGTTCAGTTTTTCCGAGGCAGCGTGCTCCAAGAACACACGGGACAACACCTTGAGGAAAAAGAAGGCAGCAAATTTGAACAGTATAATCCACCGTTTGGAGAAAGCTGCAAGTCGAGAGGAGCCCGTTGAATGGGAGTTTTGAGATTAAGCTCACCCAGCTCCACAGGGCTGGGAAAGTTAAAACTTGGACCTCTGTTGGTTTCTATTGTGTCCCGCACTTACCGCCCTGCAGGCCACGGGGCAAAAAATGCCATAGGCCAAGGTGCATATAGAGAACAAAAGGAGTGTTTAAGCCCAGTTTTATGTTTGTGTTTTCAAGGAAGAAAACTGAAACTTGTCCAGCTTTTTGTACCCTGAAGTGTTTCTATTAATTGCCCTAAAGTGATTTCCACAGTTTCTGGGGAAGAAAAAAAAACTCATACAGCTTTTGCCTTCTGCCCTCCTCTTTGGTGTGGGCTTTAAAACAAAAATATATATACAAACAAGAAAAAAAAATTAAACCCACATATTTAAAAGGGGGGCTTTTTATCAGCCATCTAATGGCTAAACAGAGCGATAATAATACACTATTATCTTCTTTAACCAGGAAAACAAAAAGATGGGAGGGGAGATTTTTTGAGATTAAAAAAAAAAAAAGTTGTTTTGTAGCTCTTCAGTTGCCACTAAGAGATTGCACAGTCAACCCGACTCTAAACACACTAGTTTGAATTCCTAAATATTTTCAAGAAAGAGTATTGTTCGAAACTTGGGGTTTAAAAAAAAAAACGCATTTACTCCATGTATTTTTTAAACAGACAAAAAAAAAGACACATCAGGAAAACATCTTAATTTGTGGTAGCTGACTTCAGTGTTTTTCTTGTAAAGTGGAATAGAATATTGACTTGTAGTGCACATTGTTTCATAGCTTTAACTGATTCTAGTCTCTTTGTTGGCTGGAATTTGTTTAATACACTCCATTTTAGGCCAAATCAGGACAGAAAAAAAGAAGAAAAATTCTGAAATCTAGGTATTTTATAATCTGCTTTTTAACCTCTAACCACAGAGCACGCGGATCAGACCTCATTCTGGGAGGTGTGGGAGACAGCTTGGAAAAGGGATGTACTTGATCGGTTCAGATTAATTTGCATTATGCCAGCCATATAAGTTACTAGTCCTCAACCCATCTGATTGCACATGCCACATTAATCATTGACCTATGTGATCTGGAAGAGGAAAAAAAAACACCAGCTTTTTGGAAAGAAAAAATAAATTACATGGGCATCTGGAAACAGTCCTTAACACACGCCAGGCAATCAGGTGGGTGGCATAAGGATAATATGCTACACAAAATACAGTGTGTGGGGGCTTTTTGACGGAGAGGGGTTGGTTGGCAAGAAAGATGAACGTGTTCACCTGGCATCAGTTTCAAAAAGAGTGTGGTGGTGCATTGAGAAGCCTCACCCAACCAGATGAGTTTCCATCATCCAGAGCTGGTAATAGTTCACAGGACAACATTACTGGGGCTGATTACAATCTGGGGCTTGCCTGGTATTTCATCAGCCATTCTGCTATTCTGGTCTCACCTACTCCAGAGAATAAAGGTAACCGTTTCAGCCTCTTTGGAGTATCGTTAAGCACTCCTAAATGATTATCCATGGTCCCATGACATATACTGGTTACTAAAAGAGAGTGGTGGGACTAGAGGAAGAGTACGTAACCCTCGATCATCACAATGTCAAACTACAGAATGGCTAACCAAAGCACACAACAGGAACTGTTCTCCTCTCCCAAAATTTAGCTCTTCCTGTTATTTTATGACAGCCGCAGAGCCGATCAAAGTACAGCATCGATTTTCCAAATTGTCTCTAGCTCCTCCTGTTGTCTATGTGTATATGCGTGAGCATAGAAGTGTATGGAGGAATGAGTGTGTGTATGTGTGTGTGCATGTGTGCAATTTTATACGTTGGTATTTTCTTACGTACTTGTGCACGCTTGGAGTGCATTACTGCCACCTTTTTTCAATAAGCTGTTTTATCAGTTATGGCTTCTACAAATTCGCTGATTTAGATTCCTTTATTGCCATATCTTTAAAACTAACAATAGATGATTTTGGTGTGTATGTATGGGTATGAATATGTATGTGTATATATCTATATATAGATATATATACATAGACACACACATACATGCATATAATTATATTATTTTTTGGCTTATTTATAGGTGCTGTATTTTATTATCTGATTACTAGGAAAGGCCGAAAGGGGCAAATATTCTTTAGAGGGATAGACTGCCGGCAGTATTGGGTTTAATTTACAAGATGTAGTTGTCAAACTGTATATTATTGACAGATATTTTTTTGGGAGGGCCGTATTGTGTATCATGGAAAACTGCTTAGGTCAACATCTTTTGATGACACTTTAATGGTGCATTCATGACTTATGTTCTAATTAATATTTACTTTATGATATTGTGGGAGGGGATGGGGAAGAGACATTCTGACTTTAAAAGATATATTCCCAATATTACACCTCAGTGTAGTTGTATTAATTGGTCACTAAGTCTGTTTTGGGGAGGGGACAGTGCTGTAAAATGTGAAATCACCTTCCCTGTGTATTCTTTTTCTTTATTTAAAAAAAAAACAAATTAGGTTTTTACCATGTCTTCAATATGCAACAGCAGCACTTAGTTCAAGTCTTCACAAAATTAAGAGTTCGGTAGCTTTAACAACAGCAGCAACAAAAAATGCCTTTTCATGGTCCAGAACAAAAGCTCTAGGAGGCTGGAAGGCAGGTTTGTTTTTCCAACTTTTTGCTATTAATTTTATAGTTTCTTGGCTGTTTGGGGGATATGAAATGTTATCTTTAAGATGCACAAAGAGCTCTTATTATGACTTGAAGGTGCAAATCTGCACAAATATAAGCAAGATTAGGGACAGATTCTGGCTTGAGAATCAATATTGGGACAGCCACACTTTCCCTTTAGAACAGTATTTCTCAAGCTTGGCAACTTGGAAGATATGTGGACTTCAGCTCCCAGAATTCTCCAGTCAGCATACTGGCTGGGGAATTCTGGGAGTTGAAGTCCACACATCTGCAAGTCGCCAAGCTTGAGAAACGCTGTTTTGGAGCACCTTGAGATCTTAAGGCCTGCTGCTGAGGGTGTTTCTTTTTGGCTTTGGCAGGATCTTCCTAGAAAATTGACTTTAGAATGCTTATGATAGCTGCCACCCATCAGGTCCCAGCACAGTCAGTTACAGCATGTGACATGGCTTCAAACTAAAGGCCTGCCTTCCACATACAATGAGAAATTCCCACTTCCTTTGCAAAACCGGAAGCAGCTCTTCATTGTCTTGACAACATTTAAAAAAACACTTGCATTGCTTCACTTCCATTAGACTTTAGCTTCCCAGCAGGCAAAGGATTTGTTTTTAGCCTTCCAGTGTCTATATATTTCTTTAGGCAACGGAGCAATATCCCATTCTGGTTTATTGTCTTCCTCTTAAATACTTTCCAATATGTTCAGTTAGCCATTGAAGTTAAGACCTCCCTCTTCCCTCAGTTTCATTCTATCAATATACTGGGTGCCTCTTCTCCATAGCCCATGGAGAGATATCACTAATGTGACACAGGGCAGCCTAGCACTTGAGGTTCTGCCATTTGCCCTAATAAGCAATATTTAAGTGCCTTGGGAAAAAAAAAATATTCTCCTGTCTTTCATGTGATTTCCCAACCAGATATGCTTGGATTTTAGCAAAGAAATTACAAATTCAGATTTACCCTTTCTTTTCACGTTGGGCAGTACTTCCTGCCAAAGCAAAGGGGCCTTGTTTCATTCTTCCCCAAGGGAACAGCCCGCTCAAGAACATGGCGGCTTATTGCAACCAGTAATGGTTGCAGAGTTTAAGCCAGCTAAGTGAAAGGTGGTACTGCTCTGCCCATAGCTGCATATTCGATTCAGGAAGTTTCTGGAGATTTAATTAACTTGGCACTTTAATCACATTTGGGTTCTCTTGATCATTTCTGTTCTCAGTTTTGAAAGGAGAGGCTGTAATTGAGAGAATCAGGGTGGCCAACATTTCTCAAAAATCCATTATCTTATAAACAAGGATGCCGTTAGTTATCCCAGTTTTGGTCTTAATAGTTTGACTACCATCTAGGCCTAGTATGGTAGGACTCTACTTTCTGTGGGTAAATTTAGCTCTATTGGAGATTTCTGCCATACAGAGTTAATGACGAGTTTTGGTAGCTTGCCTGATGCTGTGCTTTCTGACTGAGGCTTAGGAGATTTTGGAGGAGGGTGCCATTTAGGAGTTTTCTTTGAGTCTGTCTCAAAAGATTTAGCTCCTGATCCTGGTGGTCTTCAGCTATTGGCTGGCAATTCTGTGAGTTTTTGAAGTTCAATGGAATGGTGGGAGGCTATTTGATGCCTAGAACAAGAGAACTATAATTAAGAAGAGAGCAACATTCTATAAATGTATATTTTCTAATTCTGTCCCTTAAATTGTACAAGTACATCACCCAGTTAAAATAATTGGCTGAAGATTTACTCCACCTAAAGCAATCGGCCAGACCCTTCTCAATCTTCTCTTGTTAGAAGGATTTGGGCTGGGGTGCGTGCTCTGTTGCCCACTGCAGCCTCACTGCTCATTTGGTCCACAGTCCACTGTGAAGACTGACACGTTAGTCCACTTGTAAGTTAAATCACTCCTCACTTCCACATATACAGTATACACACTTTTGCAACTAGTGGATAGGGTGACTGCATTTCTAACTAGACTTTCTGCAGCCTGAATCACAAGTTAAGTTATGATGTTGATTGGTTAGTTGGGACAGGGTTGTTCGTTTCTTTTGGACTTATTTTGTGCAGACCCAGCCAGTGATGGTTGATTAAACCATTTTGAAACAACCCATGGCGTAGCATAATGTACAATCTCTTTCTGTATTTTTTGAAGGCTCTTGGTATGTATCCATCTGTCTTCCAGACACCCAAGAAATAGGGTTTTTCAGATTGGTCCAGAAAACTGTCCTTTTACTGAGGACTCTGATGAGAATATCTGTAACGCTAGGCAGTTTTCTTCGAAAAAGCAGCTCATCCCATCTACCTCTCGTGCAGTGCATATACACTCCATTCAGTAAAAGCTGTAGCCCTGCCTAGCACTCCAGCTTAAGCCAGTGCTCTGTCCAAGAAAATACCCAGAATCCTCAGCAACATGCTGTCATTCCATGGCTGGCTGACATGCAGTAGTATTTCTGTCACGGAAACTGCTGCTTATGAGTTTTGCTCCTCTCATTTCACTTTAGAGATTTGTATTAATTTCAAAACCCTCTTTTGAAGCCCAATTTAGCCACAAGGTTTCAGTCAGTTCTGAGTAGATGGTACATCTTTCACTTTGCCTACAAGGGGAAGAGCAGATCCCAGTTGGAATAGCCCCGGGGACCCCAGCTTTCCTGTTCCAAAGAGATTTTTTTTCAGCTGCCTTTCAGCCTTCAAGCAACAAGGAGAATGACTGAGCAACCTTCCTCTCAACACTGTCACCGAGATAGGTACTGTGGAAAGGAACTCCTTTATTTCCATATGGCTCTGTTTCCCTTTGAGGAGGGATTATTGTAATGCAGCATTCAACCAGCCTTGAGCAGAGGAAACAACAGCAGCTTTGGATTTCTTAGAGTTTACTTGAAATAGGAAAATTACAACCTGCATTGAATTGAACTTACAATTAAATTGGCACAGGAGTATCAGCGCCCCTCTTGGGATAATTTGAGTTCTTCCTATACTCTCTGGTGTCAGAGAGTAGTTGACGTAAATGCATTTATCTGAAGA